GAAGTTCTTGTTAATGCACATCAGTCATCAGATTGGCTTCTTACTTCACTGATAATCCCTCACCGGAACAGATGAAGAAGGGAACGATATTCTGAGGCTTCGAGAAGAATATCCGAAAACTGCCGGCCGCGAATACCACTGCTTTGTGTTTAGTGAGGTTATTGTTATACATCATATTACATAATTCCCTCAGTGTCTCATTTCGCTACTTTATCAAATATCTGACCGTTCAATCAAATATCCGACAGTAGTTGAAGTAGAACTCTGATATTGGGCGTAGTACTTGGAAGTAAAGAATGCATTTACTGTGATTTTGTTTGGCAGTTGATTTTGGGCCGCCAGCTTTTGCTAACTGCGTAATGCGTTGTAAACTTTTTCATGTGGTATTAAGTGCAACAAATGTTATCATCGGCAAGAAACTACAATTCGGCTTGACGTCGCATTGCGCTATTGTATGCACAATTGAACAGAATATTATGTAATGAGTGCTACTTTAACCCTCGCCCGTATTGGTGTTTTTCCAGCCGCTAACGTATAAGGGGGGGGGGGGCCTTGCCATTTCGCCCCTGATCGAGCTAGAGCTTCGCGGAAAAACGAGCGTGTTGACGAGAGGAAGCCGATGATATCCAAGTTTAAGGTCGTAGGTCATTGGTTGACCTTGCAGGTCAGGTCAATGACCCAAAAGTCGGGAAAATCGGGACCTGTTAGAACGTCGTACAGCGTGGCTGCCATGGGGTTTTTCGGGGTGCTGATCACGAATATCATGTTAATTTTGATCACAGATGATGTCTTCATGCATTTAGTCCAGGTCAGGTCAGGTCAGGTCAGGTCAACCAGTACGGGTCCTGCCGGGTATTCCTAGTAGGTGTCAACCGCCTCCGACAGCTTCGTAACATCAATATGTTACGAAGGGACCAAAACTGCTTCGTAAATGTTCATATGGTTGCTAAATTCGAATTCAGCTCCAAAAACTGGCCTAGAAACATGTAAAACTCGAAAAAGTGAACCGAGGTCATCAAAGGTCAATGACCTGACCGGCTTCAGGTGACTTTGACACCCACCCTAATGCATGGGGGCAACATCATATCACATGTTTGGACGCTTGAAGCCACGAAAAGACTGTAAACGCGCGGGCCGCGGCTAATGCGAGCCGACATACGCCGAATCGCGATTCCGACCGAATCGCGATGGTCTCGAAAAGTAGGTCATAGGTCAAAGGTCATTTGGGTGAGGGTCATGAAATTTTCAGGGTAGGTGTATAATTGATTAACGCGAGGGTACTGAAAGTTTCGTCGCGATCGGCCGCTTTTTACGCGAGTTATTCGCGAAAAACCATGGGGGGGTCCGTTCAACCCCCCCCCCCCTATACGGGCGAGGGTTAATCTTCTATTCCAACGTGAACCGAATGTGCAATTGCACACTCTGGAACTGGAAATAGGCAACTGAAATGGACCTGTTGAACACTTTCGAGTTTCAATGGTGGCGGAAGACGCGCCTCGCTGGTGCCCAGTGGTGACAGCATGTGCTCTTCAACCAAGTGAGCTCATTATTACGGCTACGTATACCAGTAATTGTGTCGGTATCGGATACTGGATACTGGAATAGTGTAACGGACTGATTAGGAGGCGTATCTCCTGTATTGTCGGCTGGAAAATTACACTATTTTTTTCACTCCGCTCCCGGTGGGGCATTTTTTGCCCGTGTCGTTTACTGGGTAATCATAATGCTTCACCACCTCCTTCCTTCTTCCTATTTTGATAGAGTGCATATTGCCGTGGTGATTTGCTGTTTGACTGGTCGAACGTAACAGATATACCTACATACGGGTACAAGCCCTCTATCAAGGTTTCTGGAAATCTTGCTAAAATGCTATTGGTGGTTTTGATAACGTTCTTTGCTGGTTGCGGCAAAGACACACATCTCAAATTTTTTACTGGGCTGTGTTTTTGTTTTCGAAAACAGATGAGAAATTTACTTTTTCTATTACCAATAATATTCGTTTGATATACTGTACCTAGTCGTACCGATGGTTTAGGTACTGATGATTTGTGTCTATCTTTCGGTACATCGGGTATTTTGATTATCAAATCTTTATCAACATTTGTCAAATCATTATTTTTTACAGATTGTTTTGCAATGTTTATCAAAGAGCATTTCAACTGGCACGAAGAGTGGCTGGAATTACTTTATTATGCAATACATATGCATATAGTCAATTAGCTCGTACTATTTGTTCATCGTTTCAATCTTTAAACGGAGCTACAGGGACGTTTAAGTTTATATTTATTTAAGTGTTTTAATCGAACATAATGTCTGATAATTTGAAAAAAACAGTCATAAGCAATTAGTGCAACCCTAACTGATAGCTACTTAGAGGCTCAATGAACCTAATTTAACCAATTCTGCACCAAATATGCACCAAATGTGTACCTGGTAATTGTCATGAAAACGACTGTTAACAATTTGTTTTTATTGCATAAGCATAATTCATCTAAACATTCACTTTGATTGATAACTCAAACAGAGTGTACAATGTACAATGCATACATCCTTGTTTTCATGTCAAGAAGAGTTAAGTATCCCCGGTTACACATTTATGAGCAGCCGTGAAGCCCCGTTTGGGGGCGGCCCCTGTGACAAACTCACCCCTGTCGATCAGCAGCTCGGGTCGGCGGCGCCGCCTGCCGTCATGGCGCACTCGCTCCCTCAGTCGAACAAAATCGGCCCGGCCGGCGGCAAAAAACGCTGCCGTCCAGTGTGGAGCGCCGCCGCCGCCGCCGCCGCCGCCTGAAGCCCCGCCCCCGTCGTCCGGTCGGCGGCCCGACACTCGCGGGCGCGCGCGGCCGCCGCTCGCCCCACCCTCGGAGCCGGCCGGCGGCCTCCCAACCGGCCTATTGATTGGTCCGGCCGCGCCGGCCGCTGCAAACACGGATAAAAATTCAATTTTACAGCGGCGCCGACGGTGAATTATTGAGCAGTGCGCATGCGCCGGCGCCGGCCCGACCCGACGGCTATTGGAAATGTCGATTTCTCGGGCGGCCCGACGGCGCGGGACGGCCGACGCCCGGCCGACGAACCCTTTACAAAAACAACGCCGCTATTGAGCGCCCGGAGCGGCGCCGCGGCCCGGCCCGAGGCGCAGCCCGAGAGTGAACCGGCCGAGCGGCGCGTGACGCAGTTGACAGCTCCGAGACATGGCGGCCAGTGGCGCTGCAGGCCGCCGCTGGACGACGGCGCAGCTTCGCAGTCCGTGCACCGGATTTCTCTGAACGCCGGCTGCGCAACTGCCGCGCCAACTAAAGCATACCTACATCAAGCTGGTTCAAACAATAGGTTTACGAAATCTGCAATCAATCCTGTTTTTTAACTTAAACTTAAGAAACTTATCTTATGAACGCAGATTTAATGTCAAAATTAAGTTGTTGAAATAGATTTAAGATTGTAATATTTTTTTCTATTTGTTGGTGCAAGTAGGACGTATGGGTGGGCTGGGTCAACTGATGTCAACGGTGGGTGACCAAATGAGAAATGACGTCTTTGTTAATTACTTGCCACAGAGTGTAGATACTAGATAAAGCTTTAAAATGGTGTTATTTTTCGACTTGATTAGCCGCCGAGTCATATGTTTGCAATATGTACCTTGCCATTGAACATAAGCACGTAATAATTGAATTTAAAGTAATATCATTTAACACGGTAACAAAGTAGTCCATCCGATGTTCATTGACGTGTTTAACCTGCTGGAGCTTTGATTTTGTCATCGGTTATCAGAACAATGGCTATGATCCCAAAGCAATGGGCGGATTCTAGCGAAATTTTGAAGTTAGACCCGAAATCCGCATGCCTGATGGGACGTGTTTCCCAAGGTTTGTATTCACTAGTGGATGCTTATCACACAGGCAGACTTTGACACTTCGGTGGGGACATCAGTGCTTTTAGGTATATGTGTCTGCTGATATACGAACGCGACCCAAAGGGCCCGAGTACGTCAGCAATGCTCTTACAATCCTTCCACGTTAATGGCATACCCTGCTGGCTTTTTACTATAATGATATCACAATTCTTAACCGTAGGTAAAGGCTCACTCTTTTCCTATGATCGCCGTTTGGGTTCTATTTAATATGTTCCCCAGAAATAAACGGTGCCTTACGGAGCACGTGCAAGTAAACTGAAGCGGCTTGACGTTTCTTCATTTCTATTTTGCTAAAAGATTGGCATTCATGGATCATATTAAACATAATTAATTCAAATGACTTTCATTTGTTGAAAAGGGATAGAATTGTGAGCTGAAATGTAAGGCAGTCACGGCGTTCAGTTTGCTTTGAACAGCAATGAATGGCTGCATTTTATATTTTGTGCCCGGAGCTTTATTTAATCAGTGAAGTGGACCACACATAATTGATTTAACTCCTCGTTAAATACCCTTGCCAGGTTTTTCCGAATCCGCGGAAAAAAGACAATAGAACAAAGGCTTTGGCACGTGTCTGAGAACACTGTGCACGCGCCAATAAATTAGGATTTATTGTGTAGAGAAAGGCATTAAATTGTCGCCTGATGTGTTCTATGGTAGTTATTATTTGAATTCAGTCGGCTTTGTGTTGGCGTTTTTCATCGATGGCAGGCGAAAGAACAGCGACGTCTGCGCCGACTCATGTGTCGCTAAAACGCCTCATGCATTTTAATATATTCACCGTTCACAATGGCCCACAGTGTCCCGGGAGAGAGGGCATATGACGTGCTGCCAGGAGCGGCGACGTCAACTCAAAATACGATAACCTGCCCAATGTCAAAGGAAGCTGCGACGTCATTCGTCAATGGGGCGATGGGTGCTTTTTTGATATTGTCATTCACGCCTTCTCCGTGTAAACAGTTGTTAAACACTTCGTGGAGCATTTGCTACTGTGTAATGTATATTAATTAAGTGTGATCGTAACTTAATGTAGCAGGACAGCAGGTGCTTTTTTAGCTTTGTTTTACAATCTGTACAAATATAGCAAAACTAACACAACATCACGTGTTTATTTGCTGCCACAACGGACTCTGGAAACAAATGACTGGTAAATGAAGACAAACAATACAAAAATGGTTCCAAAATTAGAACAGGGTCAGGGACATGCTGCTGAACGCTGAAATATAGCATTTGTCGTAGATTCTCCGCACACCGAAAGGGTGCGCATCTCTCTCGTCTGGTCCATAGGCCTGTCTTTTCGGTGGAGTCGGGACTTTCCGGGCCTCAGGCTCTCCGGCTGTTCAGCTGTCGCTCTATGGTCAGCTCCTGTCGGGTGAAATGTCACAGTGAACTGCAGAGAAGTCCCCGAACGGCGCACTCACATTGGCAGCGGCACATCCGTGAATGGGAGAGGGACCATAGCCCAGTCACAGTTTGCATTGGGTATATTAAGGATATGATTGTCGCAGATCTGACAGTTTGTGTTGAGGAGCGGGCCGGGGCGGGGAGACGGCGCACCTTGATCAGGCTGGCCACGGACGGCGTGTGTTTGGTCTCGGCGCGGATCTGCGAGACCCGCACGCTCAGCTGTCCGAGCTCCTGGACGCTCCATCCGCGGGTCAGCTCCACCAGCTGGTCGATGCTGCGCTCGGAGAGGTGGCGGCCTGCAGGGCACCGGGCGGCGACCGGTCAGGGCAGCGCTGGTTCTCACTTCTCCCGGCCGGGTCCCCATCCCCGCTCTGTTGGGGCTGGGTTCTTTCCACTCGGAATACGCTCTGCTACGATGCATCAGTGACCCAAGACGACGAACGGGATCGATGATTGTGAATATGAAATGAAATAGCTTGAAATAGCTTTTAATGGACTGCACTTCAGCTACCCGAGACCTTTCGCAGTGAAACCAATGTATGTAATATTATTTGGAGGATGCTACTTGACTGTACGATTTGTCCGATGAGTTCCGAACTGTCCAGTGTTTACTGCCACCTAGTGCCCGATTGGGAAACTGAAAACGATCGTCTCTGCCGTAAGTATGTCCATTCGTCTTACTCCTTCCTATAGAGTCCCGTCCCTCTACAGTTACGATGTGACGAGACTGACACAGACACTGCTCGTAGTGATCCGGTGTGTGTGACTATTGCTTATTTCGTTACTTGTCCGATCGGCGCATGCTTCTGAAATTATCATCCGGTCAATAATGATCAAACACGTCAAAAGTGACGTTCATTATTTCACGACAGACCTTTAACCTTCCAGGCGGTGGGGGGCATTTTTTTGCCCCCCTTTAGTTTTTTCAATATATCTCGAGAACCGCTGCGCCGATCGTCACCAAACTTTCAGTACCCTCCCGGGAGCAGCTAGCGCACATGGTGACTAAAATTTTTTCCAAAGGCTATGATAGGTTGGCCGCTAATGACGTCAGGGTGACGTCATTTTTGCCATTTTCGACCCAAAAAAAGGTTTCGCGGGAAGAGCTGTCAGGCCTACAGCTTTAGAGATATAGAAAAACGTTTTTTTGACATGAAAGGTGTGGAATCAAAAGGGCTACGAAACTGCTATTTCGGTTTTTCGAATTTTTTGGATTTTGACCCCAAAAAATCAAAAAATAGATTTTTTGAATATAATAGCCAAAAAATCCAAAAAGTTTTTGAATTTCGAAAAACCGGAATTTATGTGATAGTCCCTACCGCCTTCTATCTACAATCTACATACCAAATTTGAGATCGATACCTCTTTTTTGGCCAAGTTATAGCGAAAAAACTGTTCAAAATTAATGACGTTAAATTTGCAAACTCAATTTTTAGCAATTCTAGACCTCGTAACGCAAAACAAAGACCACCATTAGACTCCCCGTGACGAGCTGCATCGAATCGATACCCATTTTATGCAAAAATATCAACTTTAAAATTTGACCTTTTTTGACCTGACCTTGACCTGACCTCCACCAGAAAGTGACCTAAACCGTACCTAATGGTCTTATAACCAACACCATTGAGTTGGAAATGAAAAACTGGCCATAAAACATGCATCGCATAACCTTAGTAAAGTTGGGCTCATGTGGTGACCCTTGGTGACCTTTGGTGACCTGACCTTTGACCTGACCTGGTATGACCAGTGACCTCTAATAGCAACATATGTACTAGACAACTGACGCCTTATCGCTGATTTTCGACAAAATGCGTTTTACTCGGTGTTATAGCGCTTTCCCTAGAAGCCCCGTGAACGGTGAAACATTTTATCTTTGACCTGACCTGTGACGTCATCGGTGACACCGAGGTCAATGAAATTTGGTTTCCTTCGACAAATTTGACAGGGCTATCGAACGCCGTTTGAATTTTTCGGATCCGTCCAGTAGTTTCGGAGATACGGGGGGGGGCAAAAAATGCCCCCCCCCCCCCACCGCGTGGAAGGTGGCTGGTAGACCCACCGCCTGCCGGGTTAATAAGCCGTCCCGGTCAGGGGTGAGGGGTCTCACCGTGGCTGAGCAGGGTGGTGAAGAAGGCTGTGCGCTGCGGCTGGCCGGGCCGCACCACCTTGTGCAGGTGGGCGGTGGCCAGCGCGGCGCGCTGCTGCTCCACCAGCGCCGGGTACGGCTGCACGCTGGTCAGCACCACCAGCAGCGGCGCCCAGCGCGGCAGCATGCCCAGCAGCCGCTCCAGGCCGGTGCCGACGCGCAGCTGGAGGGCCTCCTCCAGCTCCTCCAGGCGCGGCATGTACAGCACCGTCGGCGACCGGTGCCGGCCCACGTCGTGGATACGCTCCGACAGTAGCTGCCCGAAAACGGCAAACACGGCATGATACGGAACGCCTACTGATGACAAACCGGCGATTTAAGTAGAGAGATACAATGATGCATTTGTACCTAAATATATCCAAAGCAAGATTGTCGGGATTGGTTATAATGTAGGTATGCCTTATGCCATCAATTACGGCTTTGTATACCACGAGCCTGAAACCAGACACACGATCATTAGTGTTGCCTCAGAGATATGGCACAGAGTTGTTCTCGATTGCTTGATAATCCACCGACCTGCATGACATCGACGCAGGTGAGCGACATGACGTAGGCGTCGTCCATGGTCCAGATGTTGCAGTCGGCGAACGCGGACAACACCGACTTGCTGACGTACTCGGGGTCCTCTGGGTAGCGCTCGTCGGGACACATCAGCACGCGCATCTGCGAGCAGATCTCCCTGCCGAACGAGCAGCGGCCAGTCGTCAGCTGCAGGCGTCCGCTCGGCCGTCGGTGATGAGGCGGTAAATGCGTACCAGACGAACTACTGGCCGTATTTCCTTTATTTTCAATGATTTATTGAACACGTGAAGCCAGTTGGAATTCCGAATATCAGACTTCTCGCATGTCTGATCGATCACGGGTTTTATGTAATGGTCGCGATCGATGTGGTTAGTGAGCCAGCCGGGCCCGAGGGATTGATAAACCGAGAATGTTGTCTGGGGTAAACACGCCGCCCAAACCGTACGGCGCGGCGCACGCGTCTGTTTCAATCCCTGTCACTAGATGGCAGGGCTAAACCACCCCTGAATGGTAGGCTGTGCCGCATGGCTCGGATGCAGTCGGCGCTCCCCGCACGGCGCGGGCGGGAGTGCCAACTCCGATAAGCTATGCGAGGTCGTTCCGATACTAGAGAAGCCTTGCAAAAATGTGTTTTTAAGAAGCTCGTCGACTAAGCAAATTGCTCCTAGCGTAGGCACAGAAACAGTTGACCCCAACGCGAAGGACACTACCGTCCGCCCGGGGGCAGCGGGCTGACGGCGGCGCCGACTGACCCTCGTTTGACTTTGTTGGGCAGCAGCCACGGGCAGCGCCGGCTGATGACGTCCACCAGGTGCTGCCGGTCGTGGTCGATCAGCGGGTGGAGGATCTCCGGCACCACCTCCCTCCACTCCTGCATGCCGCGGCCGCCTGACGGACGGAAACTGGCCAGAGCCGTCTCGTAGTGCCGCTTCATCACCTGACACAGACACACGGCAGTGAGGATATGAGGAATATTGCCCGCATTTCAGCCAGCTAGCTTTGTTAGCGATCTATTTTTGAACTTCAAGAAGACACGATTGTAAAATAAGACGTAGCTGAGCGGCCGATGCGCCGCCGTACCTTGACGGTGGGGTCGATGTCCACCTTGACGGCGGTATTGTAGATGGACGGGTAGGCCTCCTTGACGGCCGCCAGGAACGCCTCTCTGATGAGCAGCGCGATGTCGGCGCCGCAGAAGCCTGAGGTGCGCTCCGACAGCCAGGTCAGCAGCTCGGAGCAGCCGTCGGGCGCGCTGATCCGCAGAATCTCGCGCCTCGCCTGGCGTCATATCCCGCCGGGGGGGGGGGGGGGGCTCACTGTATCGTCTCGTCATACCCAGCCGAGGGAGCTCAGTTTGTCAGCCAGCAGCGTAACTTGTGAACAGCAGATGATCAAACAGCTGCCCAGCACAGATAATGCAACACACAATATCGCTTTGTACCATGTCTCTGGCACTGTCTCTGTCTCACCAGTACCTATTGCCCAAGAATGTGGTGCCGGCCGAAGTTGTTCACACAGCTACGAAACAAAGAAAATTGTATAAGCGGCGATCGGTAAGTGAGATGAGAGATCACTGCAGGTCACGACCAATATAGGCGCTCACACTCACCTCCAGGTTGGGCGGAGGGAAGAAGATTTCTCGATCGAATCTGCCGGGTCGCCGCAGGGCGCTGTCCAGGGCGTCGGGGCGGTTCGTGGCCCCGATCACCACCACCTGCGGACGTGGCACACAAGTGGTAACAGACGCCTCGCCATTCACTGCTGGATACTCAGTCTGACTTGGCATTGATCAACGTATCTAAGAACAAGCCAACTTATTGTAAACAAACTTATCAGTGTTAATGCACAAATATTTCTTACATTAAAACAGCAACGATACTTGTCCCAATAGTTTGCTTTATGTTCAAGCGAGACACGCCTGTACCCTGTGAGTAGGCAGTAGTAAGGTGCCTCTGAGGTTCAGGCCGTGCCGCGGGTGAATTGTGTGGACGTGCTGACTGACCTGCTGCCGGTCCTCCAGGCCGTCCAGCAGCGTCAGCAGAGCTCCCACGATGGTCGTGTACACGTGGTCCTGCTGTGAGTTGCGCGCGGGTGCCAGCGCGTCCAGCTCGTCAAAGAAAATCACCGACGGCTGGTTGGTTTTCGCCTGTAACAGGACAAAACGCTTACAATGGTGAGTACGATATGTTTAGTTGAAAAACTGCACGCTTAGTTTTGTTTGGGGAATAAACTCTCATTTCTCTCTCTCTCTCTCTCTCTCTCTCTCTCTCTCTCTCTCTCTCTCTCTCTCTCTCTCTCTCTCTCTCTCTCTCTCTCTCTCTCTCTCTCTCTCTCTCTCTCTCTCTCTCTCTCTCTCTCTCCTCTCCTCTCCTCTCCTCTCCTCTCCTCTCCGTCCGATTAGATTAGGGCCTCTCTCCTCCCTCTCTCCCTCTCTCTCTCTCTCTCTCTCTCTCTCTCTCTCTCTCTCTCTCTCTCTCTCTCTCTCTCTCTCTCTCAAACTCAAGTATGATCAGTTTTGTATGACCTTACCGCTTCGAAAAGATCCCGCAGGTTTGATTCACTTTCTCCAAACCATTTGGACAGAATATCGGACCCGCTACGAGAGTAGAAGGTAACTTTCTGTGTGCCCTTGCTCAGTTCATGCACAAGGGCACGGGCAACCAGAGTCTTCCCGGTTCCTGCGAAAGTATGAGATATTATTGTCATACACAAAAGCGGCGATTACAATAATTATTATCACGTCAATGGTTAATCGTATTAGGATTTTTAAGCAGCGTTGTGATCGGTGTTCAGTGTTCTCTGTTCAGTATGGCATTTGAAAGTTAATGGTTTACGACGTTTACCATTTTGTGCCTATTTTGTCCCTAAATTGTGATATTGCGTGACTCGAAGAATGATGTACATTTATACCTGGTGGTCCATAAAAGAGAACTCCTCTGGGACAGCCAAACTTTTTGAAGACTTCTGGATATCGAAAGGGAAATACGATCATTTCCTTCAGCTTCTCAATCTGTTCATGTAGCCCTCCGACGTCTGAGAAGTCAACTCCAGTGCTGTAAACGGAGGCTGGTGTTACTGCTTACACTATGTTGTATATCGAGCTGGCTAAAGGTATCGACATGCAATGATGTGTCATCGTTTGACGCGCGGGTATAAATATGGCTAAATGGTAAGTGTTCACTTTTTATTCATTTTGCATGGAGTTCATTAATCAATTTCTCGTCATAACGAAAGATCATCACAAGGAAATGAGGAAAGTGTATGGGGATCGACATTGTTAGCCAAATAAATTGTCTACAAAAATATAAAACCAACACTACATAGATGATATGAGCTGGTTACGAATAAGTGCTCGGAATGCACACCAATTTATTGCAAATATGGGCCCTAAACAACATCCGCCAGGCTTTACTGGCAATGTTTGACTCACTCTGTGGTCACCGGTTGGACGGGTTTCGGTTTGTCGGCCTCATCATCTCGGGTGTGCAGCTGACTGGGACCTGCCGCAGTGGTTTTGGGTGGTCGGGCGGCCGACCGACTGCGGCTACGCTTCCTGTTGCTCCATCCGTGCGACTTTCTGCGACGGCGCGCCTTTTTGACGCCTGAGTCGGCGGAGGGGTTTCGGGCGCTGAGGGCGGAGTAGCCGGACGGATGGGGACTGCACGAGGCGATGCGCGCACTGCTGCGGCGCCGAGGTCGGCCGCGGCTCGGGCCGGCCACTGCCGCCGCATCCGTCAGCGACTTCGTCGGCCGCAAGGATGACTTTGAGCGAGATGTTTTGATAAGTCTTGATTTGCTTTTATGTTTTCGTTTTGCATCCTTTTTTAACTCCTGCTTATTTTTCTTTGATTTTTTCTTCAAAGTTTTATTGAGCGACTTCGATTCATACTTGACCACTGGGCGCCTGTAATGCGTAGCTCGTTATTTTTCGTTTATGTTGTGCAGCTCGGTTCTTATATCTAGCTTTTTTGTAAACTCTAAAACAATACCTAGCTGTCATGGTTTCGGCTCTGTTTTATCAAGGTTAAAAGGTAAATAGTGCCTGTCATGCTTAGGTAGGCAAGTCTGTTCGCAATACCTATAGAGTATAGGTAAACAAGGCCTGTTATCGTAACCCGCTTCGGATGATTAACTGATAATCTTATTAAATTAAATACTTCAACCGTAATTATTTGTATAGATCACCAAAATGTGAACTCGATCTGGGTTTCATATTACACAAACATACCTTTGTCTTTGGGAGCTCCCTGTAGCTAGAATGTTGTCTTTGTCGATCCTGTCGGCTGTTGTTTTAGAAGGATTTGGAGTCATCTCTAATTTACTGAAATATTTGGAACTAAGGCTGCTATTTCATGGATGAAACATTAATTTAAGAAAAATGAGGCAACAGAACAGTAAATTCGCCAAACATTTCAGCAAAAGGTTAAATAGCCGTTTTTCCCCGTTTTCCTACGAACGGATGACTTACCATGCGCTTTATTCGCTGGGGTCGCTTCCAGCGGAGATTGATAATGGATGGTGTTTTGCCCCATGATTACTGTAAATAAAATGTGAAAGAAGTTGATCAATAACATGGTACAGGTGTATTACTGTAGCTATTGAAAAATCGTTGTATTCTGTGTTTCGGTCTTTTCAATTGCTAAAATAATAGATTTGTGCCATGTCAATGATAAATGACTTTCCCGAGACTGGTTATATAGGCTCATGCCATATCGCAGTTTTACTTTTCTGAGTTGTATTTGCAATAGTTAAAATTTACATATTCGCTTCAATTTGCATAGGTGCAGTGCACAGTATTTATTCGTTCGGAAAGTTGTATTTATGAAGTTTTTTCTTGGCTGCTTCAGTACTTGTCAAACTTGACACACATACAGGTATGTACTTAGGTGTATCTATAATGCATCTCATACATGCCTAAGCTTGAAATAAGGGAAGTGCTTGGATGTGTTGTCTCTTGACTCATTCTGCGAAGTTGCCTTTGCCGGAGGCCTGCATCGTGAGGCTGTAGGAGTAGAATAGCTGCCGCGGAGGAGATTGGTCGTCGGGCGGACTGGAGCCCAGCTTTATCGATATCGGTCTGCGGGGGCGGTGGGAGGTGCGTGAGGCATTGCCACTTCAGGCTCAACAGCTGCCACCATGCAACTAGATATAGGTGAGCCAGAGCGGACGACCGGGTGATTTTGTTTGGGCTGAATCGATACCACATTACGATTCTGAAATTGCCAATGTAGTGATTATAACCATTATTGACATTAGGCGTTGCTTTCATGTCATTAACCTGACCTGATTGTGCTGAAAATGTATCACTGTTGTCAATAGATGTGCATGCTGATGCCGATAGAATGCGGTCATGGTCTTTCGCTGGTGGATCAAATAATTTGTTGATACCGTAGTTTCGTGCAAATTTGGCCCACTTTTTTGGTTAAGCCTCAATGATTCAATCATCGGTTTATGTACAATTGTAAGCAACAGGGCATAGATCGAGGCGACCCTTGACTGTTCGAAAATGACAAATTGGTGTGTGCTGCAACACTGCATGCATAACCTATTTTTGAAAATACAAGTGGCCAATTATGTTGTATCTAAAAACGCATTGCCATGTACTTGCCACTCGGTACTCAGTGCTGTCAAGTGTCAGTACCTATCTCAGTACTGCTTCTCAAATCGGGACCCGACAGGCATAGACCTCGAAACGTATTTCGTTTTTGCAACCAAAGGAAGGCGCTATGTGGAAAATGCTCCGGGCAGCGCCTTCCTTTGGTGGCTAAAACGAAACACGCTTTTGCACCTATTTTATAATTTTAAAGAAATGAGTTGCCGTTTTGAATTTTTGTGTATTCCGAGCTTACCTTAACCACTACAAAATGGGAAACCACAAGTTCACTACTGGCGCACCCGTTTACCGTCCTCACTGGATCCTAGCCGACCCTAATTTTCCGTTGATTTTTCATGGGCTGTTTAACCCCTCCTAGCCCTTCACATTGGCCTTGGGATCAAACTGCCCTTCACATTGGCCTTGGGATCAACTTAGGATTGTTCCCAAAGGTAACCGATGAACAGTCTTACCGAACCATAACAACAGCTTTTCTGCACTAGGTAGTTAAGTGTAAAAAGCTACAGCAAAGCAAATTATTTTTCCAGGTGTGGGCCAAAGCTGCCCTTGGTGGTCAAAGTTGCACGAAACTACGGTACTATATAGTTATCTCAGTCATTCTGTGTAACACTGTAACCTTATAAAGTAAGCCAGTGTGACTGTAATTTGAATCTCAATAGCAGCGAAGTCACCAGCAATCAGTGTTGGATGCGCCAGCAAATACATTAACACACATTTTGACCTTTATTTTTTTATAGGTCATATAGGCAATAGACATGCAATAGAGTGAATGCTTCTGGGGACATTGGGTTGCCTAAGTACATACGTTCTTTTGTAATGAAATTAATCCTATCTATAGTTGTAAAGAAAATTCCGTAGAAATGGGCACAATAACTTACACTGATAACCCCAAACGTCTCTATGTGACAGTGATGTTGAGGTCTTGGACGTCCTTTTCCCTCTCTCTCTCTCTCTCTCTCTCTCTCTCTCTCTCTCTCTCTCTCTCTCTCTCTCTCTCTCTCTCTCTCTCTCTCTCTCTCTCTCTCTCTCTCTCTCTCTTCTCTCTCTCTTTCTCTCTCTCTTTCTCTTTCCCTGTCTCTCCCTCTCTCGCTCATTGCTCACTTTCTATGTCTGTCTTTCTGTCTGTAAATATGCCTGGTTGTCTTATGGCGATGAATGATGATGATGATAATGATTTGTGAATTTAGGACTTCCGGTTTTTCGTGTCAAAGACTTCGTGTTTGTCCGTCTGTATGTGTGTCGGGGCTCACTCGGGGCTGTGTGTCTTTCTGTCTGTCGCACGCACTAGCGTACTCATACGCTCGCACCTTCGCTGAATATGTACTTCTCCCACTCACTAGCTCACTCACTCGCTATGTTCAATTCTCGTTGTGCTTTGTCACTGTATCTTGTTCTTGTTCTCAGTGCTCTTTCTCATGTTTGATGTGTTTTTATGTGAACTGCTTGACATATTAACATATGTACTTTTTACGGAACCGGCTATGTATGTTGTAGAAGCACGTAGATGCCTCATCAATGTACTCACTTGCAGTTCCGTATTATCACTTTTTTGTTCGGCTTAAGTACCTTACGCCTGAAACCCACATGCGTGGCACTAAACATACAAGAGACCTGTGAGTTGGAGCTAATGACATATCGCGGTACGTTTATGAAATCCATAACTGCTGAACTTCGGTCCTAAATATCGAGCTTGTTGCAAAGGGCGGTAATTTGGTCTGTGATGTATTGGCTGGGTCGTGATTGGTCATTGCTTTATTGCCTAAGTTACAGCCTGTCGTGCCAATTACGCCAGAACATCGGGTTTGATTGGCTGGGATCGACAAAGAGGCTCTATTCTGGGCAATAAGGGCGCTTAAGCCGTACGGTCTCGAAAACGTTGGTCATATTCATCGGTTGGTAATGGTCGTTTCGGCAGAATTCGCTCTCAGAAATGCTGACCGGCATTTTTCATTCAATTATGGCAAGCTGTTTTGACCCATTGTTGGATTCTGGGCTTCAAATTTGTCCACGGATGGACGATTGCGAAAATATTCTGGAGACTGTCCGATTTTATGGCCTCGCCAAAACTGGCAGTTTGAGTCTTCAACATGAGCATTCAGCTAAAACTACCGTGGCCCATTAGAGCGTGTCGGTCGGTCCGGTGGTGATCCAGTCCGGTGGGTCAGTCGCCATCAGTCGTGGCCGGGAGGAGGACAGACTGGGCTCTGACAGCCGTACTCAGCCGGTGAGCGGCGGACTGACTGCAGGCTCTGACAGCCGTTCTCAGCCGGTGAGCGGCGGACTGACTGCAGGCTCTGACAGCCGTACTCAGCCGGAGAGCGGCGGACTGACTGCAGGCTCTGACAGCCGTACTCAGCCGGAGAGCGGCGGACTGACTGCAGGCTCTGACAGCCGTACTCAGCCGGTGAGCGGCGGACTGACTGCAGGCTCTGACAGCCGTACTCAGCCGGAGAGCGGCGGACTGACTGCAGGCTCTGACAGCCGTACTCAGCCGGAGAGCGGCGGACTGACTGCAGGCTCTGACAGCCGTACTCAGCCGGTGAGCGGCGGACTGACTGCAGGCTCTGACAGCCGTACTCAGCCGGAGAGCGGCGCACGAACTGTGAGCTCACTCGGGGCTGACAAAGCGGGCACGATGGCCGCCGGAGAGTGCTATGACCCTCTGGAGCATACCAACATGTTCAGTCGCAGAGAGGGTGAGTCCGTGAGGCAGTGGGAGCAGACAACCACAACGTAAGCGGGGAGATGAAGTGAAACTCGCCTGAATCGCCTGGTCTAACATAATTTAGGCGCCCATTTGAATTATCACTGACATGCTGAAATATCTGACATGACATGAAAAAAAAATAGGAGAGTTCGAAGTTCGAACACAGTGTGAAACTTGTGTTGTGAAATAATGATTAAGTACACTCGTAGATAACTTCAGATAAGCATGACGATCCCGACCCTTTGCCCACAATAAAAGGTTGCATGTGTTAATAACGGCGCGCATACTTAACCCGCGCACCGACGGGGGTCTGCGCCAACTTAGTACCGACGGGGGGGGGGGGGCGGATGACCGCCCCCCCCTGAGATCTCGAGAACGAAGCGAGATAGCGACAAGCGGTAAACGGCATCGGATACGCACGGACAAGGTCTACAATTTTTACAAAGGTCATTTTCAGGTCAGGTCAAAGATGACGTCACAGGGGTCGAAAAAGTCAAAATGGCGGCGCTAGATATGGAGAGGGTTTTTCTCGAATAACTTTCGAACTAGTCAAGATAGGAACAAACTAAGGGCATCATCGTGATCCTCTCGTCAATCCGCATCGAATGATATATATGTTGACCTCGAAAGGTCAAGGTCAAAGGTTGACCTCAGGTCACGTGACCTCGAGGTCATCATGCATATCATTCGATGCGTCTTGACGAGCTGAACACAATGAGACCATCCGCGCGGCTGTATCTTGTTCCTGTAAGGAGTTATTGGCAAAAAACCTTTGGTGACCTTTGATGACGTCACATGACCTTACAGCTGCCCAACAGCAAAACAGACCTCAAGGTAGTGAAGGTTGATCGTATGTGAAGTCATGTATGGTATATGAGGCCATTCCGACCCGTTTTAGTGGTAAAAACAGGGAGTTGATTTTTCCCCCATTGACTTATAATGGGGAGGTCGCGAAATTGACCTGACCTTAGGTCACCGACATCAAAATTCCGAGATATACAAATTGTAGCTACTAATGACCTAATAACATCCTGCGACTTTGAAAGGCCTCCGACATCTACTGTAGCTCTGGCACGGTGACAAAGTTGCAAAAAAGTGACTTGAGGTTGGGTCATTCAAAGTGACCTGGTGACCTGACCTTAAAAGTTAGGAGGTTCAAACTTGCACACCATGTGTAAAATTGATGAGAGAATAGTCCTACCAAATTTCGCGGCGC